TGATTCATTGTCGGTTGAGCGAGGAGTGCTCAGGTTCGTAGCGACATCTAGCGACAAGTTACCACTCGTATTGGCGGTGTTAGTCAGAGTCGTAGCCGTCGTCACCGGACCGACCGAATAGCCGCCTCCGCTACTGGCTCTGTGTCGTCCAGTACTGGTGGCATCGATGGACGGGTGACCGATGGTGGTGCTTGCCGATTCGTCGTTCATGTTGATGCTGGTGGTGCGTGCCATACTCAGCTGGTGCTGAAGCCCGTCTTTGTGCGCATAGTTTACGAGGTTTCGCTCATGGTTCAGTTGCTGCTTTTGCTGTGGATGCCGGCTTCCCTGCTTTCCAATAAATTTCAGGAATATGTCTTTCAGAAGCCAGTTGCGACTAGACGCTGGCTGAGTCTGCGGCATAAGTCGCGTTGAAATGTTCGCTTCTTCAAGTGGTATCCTTAACGCGTAAGATTTATAGAAGCAATAATAAGATTGATTAGATAAATTATACAATTTCATAGAAACACATGGTGAAAGTTCAAAACAAGCCATAGCACCAGCGTAGCAACATGTGAACTGGGAAGAACAAATTTCAAGCCAAATAATTAAAGTTCATAAACTGAGATAAATTTCATGATGACTTTCAAATATGCCAATATTAGAAAATACCATAGTCTTCCTGTTTCATATGGGATAGCGCAGCATATGCACTTTAGTACAGAAATCACCTATGTTTCGAACCATACTCGGCTGGTCATCGAAGCACAGTGATACAAGCAGCGCTGTAAGGTAAAATTTCTAACCAGCAAACTACGTGGAATCGCTTTACCTATCGGATCAAAAGTTGTGTGCAAATATGAACTTACTCTTTTGAGTCGAATACGGAATATCAAAGCAAAGTTGCCGCAAGACGGCCAATGCGGATTGGTCTACTATATACCTTGTAAACGTGCTGATATCTAAATGGGGAAATGGGCAATTCCATCAAAGAAAGAAGAAAAGAATAAATACGTAACCTCACGAGAGGAAATAAGGGAAAAAAGGCAATGCGCAACTAGGCCAAAATAGGAAACATATCAGATAACCCGTACTTGTCAAAGCAGAATGCGAAAGCAACTCGGGTGCTGCGTAACACTGTGTGATCGAAAATCATGAAATAGATTGGCAGCACCCCATCACAATCTGTGCCAAAAAGAACTTTAAATCTAGAAAGAACAATGAAGCCTTTTTTATCCAGATTGAAAAACGCACGAACAGGAACAGTAGTTTGGACGTAAGAATACATAAACATCAGCGTTGTCAATATTAACCCCTGTTCGATCCATTATTGACCAAAATTTAACCTGAACGATTTGACCTTGCGGATCTGTTTGCATCACTGTAGCTTGAGAACGAGCCAATGATGGTTCGAGATGTCGGTGATTTGTGTAAGAAAGTGCCTATGTGGTGCAATCTCATAGGAAACATAAATACTGCAGAATTAGTGTTCAGCATAAAAGAAGAATGTCCAATTTTAGATATTAAAAAAAAAGACTAAAATCTTGCATGAGATTTTTTTATTTGAGAAATGATGTTGAGTTTCCGCTGGTCACAAACCGAATAACGTCACAGAGACACTCTTGTTTTACTGAAGACGGACAGGGATTGGTCCAAAACGTCACAATCTTAGCATGAAATGACTTTCAGCTCCTTTAAATGTATTATAATTCACAAATGCAAGTTAGCGTCAACATGCGTTGTGAATAATGCACAGCAGTTATTGCATCTATTTTAAAATCAAAAGGCGGCTAGAGGAAAAGATATTCTAGCTGCCTTTAAACAGGATTAGATCTGGTGCAGCCTGTTTCTTAAACTGAAGGTCGGATAATGCAAATTTGCTACTTTCTGTTCTGTATCATGTGTGGTTGCGTGGTAGAAATGTACAGTAAGATTCTGATTCCCTTTTAAGCCTTGTTAAATGTTCTTCTGGTCGAGATTTTATTTTATGCTTAGTCATGCAATACAGAATTTAAGACACACCGGCACCGTATCTTCTAAACAAATAAATTTCTTAAAACAGATCGTATTGCACTAGTTCATTATATCATTTAATTTACTAGTAAATTTGATTTTTTTCTGTAGTCTAGAAAAATCAGGTAGGTAGTGCGTTACGAGAATGAACTTCCTTTCTGTTTTAAAGAAATGCTTTGTTCCCCTTATATTCGAAACTATGTTCGTAAACATGAGGACAGAATGAATGACCTAGAATAGACAAACCTGCTCGAATCCGCTGCTACGATGTGCAGAAAAATAATAAATTCGCTTTGTCACTGATTAGGATATTTATACCCAAAAATGTATATTTCTGAAAGGTTTAGTTCTCTAGTGAATCAATAGCAATGTTACTGTTCAAATCATCTACCATTGCAGCAGTGTAGCTTCAGAATTAAAGACAGTAACAGAAATATCGAAAAATCTTTTACGTTAAGATACGCTTATCTAAATGGGATAATTCGAGCAGAGACTTGAAAGATTCAGCAGATATTCTGAAACCAGCCCATCAGACCACATGATGCTATCGTTGGCCAATACTGCGAAAGGAATGCTATTGACTTCAATCTGCTGCA